GAGCAGGGAGCCCGATGCGGGACTCGATCCTGGGACTCCAGGATCATGACCTGAGCCAAAGGCAGTCACTTAACCAACTGAGCCACCCAGGCGCCCAAGATGTTGAACTTCTTATGAAAGTTCACCCATGAAAGTATTCTTACCCATGAAAGTAATTCCATCACCCATGAACGTAGTCTCAAGCCCCTCCCCCAACCCTCAAGTCCATCTGCTTTCTGTCACTGTAGTTTACAATTGAATTTCATAAAAATGGATTCAGACAAAATGTATCCTGTGGTGTCTGGCTTCTTTCAATTAGCATTACTGGGTAGTATTCCATTGTATGGAAGTAATAATTTGTTTATTCATCTGTTGATGGGAACTTTGATTGTTCCCAGGTTAGGCCTACTAACTACTAAGCTGATATGAATATTCAAGTACAAGCCTTCTTATGGAAATATCTTTGTATTTATTGGATAAATACCTAGGAATGGAATTACAGGGTTGTATGGAATGCATATGTTTAGTTTTATAAGAAACTGTTGAACTGTTTCCTGCAGTGGTTGTACCATTTAATGGTCTTACCAATAAGATGTGAGAGTTTCAGTTTCTCCACATCCTTACCAATACAGGGTATTATTACATCCTTTAATTTTGGCCATTCTAGTGGGTATACATTAATATCACTTTGTGATTTTATTTGTATTTTCCTGTTGACTAGTTTTGCTGAGGATCATTTCATGTGCTTATTGGCTTATATATCTTCTTTTATAAAATGCTTGTTCAAATTTTTGGCCCACTTTTTCTGTAGGTTGTTTTCCTTTTATTATTATTATTAAGTTTGAGACTTCTTTGTATATTGTCAATACAAAACCTTTTCAGATATGTTTTTTTATTTTATTTTATTTATTTATTTTTTTTCTGTGTGTTAGTTTTATTTTCTTTGCTTTGGTCTATACAAAAAAACCAATAACCAAAAACATAAAGCCAGAATAATAAAACTCTCTGCTGGGACCTCCCCCAGGCCCCCACACCCACGTGCAGGAGGTGGTGGAGGGTTCGAAACAGGAAGGGGAAGAGAAAGCCCCTCACCGCACACCAGAAGGGTCAGCCAAGAGCACTTCTCAGGAGTCAGCTAGGGCGGTTGTGGGTGGGACGGGGTGTGAGGGCGTCATCCCCAGAGCTCCCAGGAAGGGGCCAAAGCCAGTTGAATGTCCTGGAGAGAGGAGCAGGAGGGTCCTGGAGTGGAGGATTCACTCTCTGCATCTCTGTCCCATCTCTGTGGTCCGTCCCTGAACTTTTCAAAACAAGCTTTGGATTCTGGGCTTTGGGCCTTGAACCTGGGTCCTGGACACCCCAGGGGCTCAGAACAGCTGGTTGGTTGGTGTTCAGTGAGACAATCAGGCCCAGAGAAGGAATCAAATCTCTGTGGGGCCCGGGCTGCTGGAGTCAGGCCACCTGGGGTGGGGGTGGGGGGTGATTGCTGGTGGGGGAAGAGAGCAGGTGGTTGAGTCTAAAGCTTTAGTGCCGGGGCCACAGAGGTGGGGAGGGGGTGTTTGGCCCTGGACCCACAGCCCAAGACAGAAAAGCAGGAGCAGATCATCATCCCAAGAAAGACCCTACAGAGGACCTCTGGAGGCGTGGGGTTCGGCGAGAAGTCGCAGCCCTGCTCCCCTGGGCTCAGGCACTTTTCTGTCTCGCCCCATCGCCTGCACGGAGAGCCTCTCAGATGAGGAACCGCACTGGAGTGGAGCCAGCTAGGCCAGCATGTGGTCCGCCGTGGGGTAGGGGGGCCTCAGGCCGTCGCTGTAGGTGTCGATGGGATAGTCCCCATCCATGTCCATGTGCATGTCCAGGGGGTCCAGGGGCACATCGCTCGAGTACATGGGGCTGTAGGTGGCATCCATGTCATCTGCATAGGGTTCATTGATGGGGATCATGCTCTGGGCAGCCTCCCAGGCAGCGGGGTCATGCTTGAAGAGGGAGTTGGTGAGCTCCACAGACACGCGCTTACGGTAATCTGGGTTCTTGTCCTCGGAGATGCGGAACAAGACAGCAGCAGCGTAGGTGGCGGTGCCCTCGTTGTGGGAGTGCAGGAGCTCCATGAGTGGGGCCGAGGTGCCCTCAGCATCAATGGCATCAGCAGCCTCCTTGTCCTGGGCCAGCTCACACAGGACCCCGGCGGCCACGTGCTGGATGTTCTCCACTGACGAGTACAGGAGCTGTACAAACAGGGGGATGGTGTTGAGTCCGAAGATCTCCATGCGGTTCATGGGATCCCGGGCGAGGATGTGCAGGGCTCCGGTGCAGCCCTCCACAATCTCCTCCATCCTCACACCGTCCGTGTAGGGCTGCTGTGTGCCTGCAGCCACATGGTGCTGGGCATCCTGGTGAGCCTTGACCAGCAACTGGACGAGGCGGGGGATAACCGCCGCCTCCTGCAGCGGGGCGTGGTTTGCTGGGCACAGGGCCAGATTCCTGATCAGGCCGATGGTTGCCTTGACCAGCGGCCACTGGTTGGGCTGGTTGAGCAGCTTGACGATGGCCGGGATGCCATAGTTGAGGCGCACGGAGTTCTGGGCCATCTCAGCCTCGGGGTGGCGGCTGGTGAGGTGGCGTAGGGCACAGACGGCAGGCTCCGTGATGTCATCCTTGTCGCCGGCACGCAGGATGGTGTGGATGAGCGCTTCCACGCCGCTGTTCTGGGTCACCAGCGTCTTGTTCTTGCTGTTGTTGCACGTCAGGTTGGACAGAGTGCCCGTAGCACAGGTAAGGACGTTGACGTCGTCCACACTCAGCTGGTTCACCAGAATCTTCAGCACGCTCTCCAGGCCCTCCTGT